TAGTCTGTTTTTTGATTCACTTTTGAGAGGGTTGTGCTATTGAGGTCCTCTGGGTAGCCTCTCTTTAGCAAATGCGCTTTGAAATTTGCGATTTTCTCCTGGAATATAGTTTGAGAGGAGTTTGCTCTGAGAAGTCTAAGGGCCTCCTTGTATAAGTGTCGATTAAACGTAAGTGTTTATGCACTGAGAAATGAGACGAAAATTTGAAAAAGAAGCCGTCGTTTGTGTTCACCGCAAATTTCACTCAGGCTGCACTATTGTGAGCTGGTTAACTCAGTTCACAGTGAACGTAATGTTTACCTTATCTCTCCATATTATGAACATGAATAGGATTATTGGCAATTATTAACTGGGAAACACTACTAAATCTCAATGATCGTTGATGCCATGACCGTGCTGTAATAAAGGTCATCAAGTTATTTAAAGCGCCACGCAGGTAATGATGGTAATTAACTGCAATTATGATCAATTATGACCCCTCAACGTTTTACTTACAACTAGCTTACCTTTCTTCTCTTTCCTCTTGTGGCTCTTTTTGTGTGTTTTTTTTTTAATTCTTCTTCGCAATACTATGCGATTTCCTCTTATGTTTTCGTATGAAAACCTGAAATGATCTGCCGACCCGAGAATGTCGCCCGAACTTACACCTATGAACGACACATGGATGAACTTTCGCGCTTGTGGCGCAAGAAAACGGAAAAAGCGTGACGGGCCAACACACGAGCTTACATGAGTCAAACAGGGATTGTCACTTACTAAATTGTCTTGCCATTAAGTCTTATGATCGCCTTCGTATGAAATTGTTTTTTTTGTTGTTGTCGTTTTACTAGTCCGCGTTTTACTAGTCCGCGTTTTACTAGTCCGCGTTTTACTAGTCCGCGTTTTACTAGTCCGCGTTTTACTAGTCCGCGTTTTACTAGTCCGCGTCTTACTAGTCCGCGTCTTACTAGTCCGCGTCTTACTAGTCCGCGTCTTACTAGTCCGCGTCTTACTAGTCCGCGTCTTACTAGTCCGCGTCTTACTAGTCCGCGTCTTACTAGTCCGCGTCTTACTAGTCCGCGTCTTGCTAGTCCGCGTTTTACTAGTCCGCGTTTTACTAGTCCGCGTTTTACTAGTCCGCGTTTTACTAGTCCGCGTTTTACTAGTCCGCGTTTTACTAGTCC